GCCCCACATGGGGCCAGAAGTCCCAGGAATCTGGTACTGAAGGGTCGGCACCTGGCGAGGATTGAAAGGAAAAGGGCCGTCAACCCTCATGCTTCAGGGCACAGGCCGATCCCCAGCTCGGGGTCAGGAGGAATTCACCTGCGGTATAGTATTGGACATCTCTCTCTCTCTCTCTCTCTCTCCAGTGTCTGGTGCTGATGCCAGAACATACAGGGTGCTGGATCTCTTCTGGCCTGATAAGCTTTGATAAGCGCGGGGCCGCCTGGGCCTCATCAGCTACTATCAGTATTACGGTAACATTGGGCATCCCAGCCGTGGCCCAGGACCCCATTGCGCTAGATGCTGTACAAAACACAGCACAAAGAGACAGTCCCGCCCCCCAAGAGATAAACCGCCCCGCTGGGATCCCCCCGGCCCCCCCCCCCCCCCCCCCCAGGGTCCCACTTCCCTCCCCTCCTAGGCGCTCACCCAGATCTGCAGCTTGACCCTCTTCTCGTTCCTATAGACTGTCTTGACCTTGAAGTCGATGCCCACGGTGCTGACGAAGGCCGAGGTGAAGGAGTCGTCGGCGTAGCGGAACAGGAAGGACGTCTTCCCCACGCTGCTGTTCCCGATGATCAACAGCTTGAACATGTAGTCGAAGTTCTGGTCGGCGGCATCTTTCTGGGCCTGCCGGGTGTCGTTGGCGGAGGCCATCTGGGGGGCAGAGAGGGGGCGTCAGCATCAGCAAGGCAGAGGGGTTCTACTCCCAGGTCCGGGTGGGGGTCTAGTGGTTGGGGCAGGCTGGGAGCCAGGACTCCTGGGTTCTCTCCTGGCTCTGGGAGGGGAGTGGGGGCTAGTGGTTAGAGTCGGGGGGGCTGGGAGCCAGGACTGCTGGGTCTCATTCCCAGCTTTGCCAAGGACTTTACTCTGTGTCTTTGAACAAGCCATTCTGCCTTGCTTTCCAGCAAAGAAAAGCCCCACAAGCATTCCTCTCCCAGGCCGGCTGGACATGCAGCGTTTGTGAGGTTTCCAAAAGCGAGGATGTGACCCCGATTATGGGTGTCTGAGGGGATCCCAGTTCCTTCTCCTTTGGAGAGCCCTTTCTGGGAGCAGCCAATCCCCGGCGATCGGCAGAGATCCCAGCCCAGAAGAGTCATTTACCACCAGTAACACACAGATCATCAGCGGATCTTTGGAGGAGTAGATTGTCAAGCCCTTGGGGCGGGGCCAGTCTCTCTATTCTGGGTTTGTACAACGCCGAGGGCAACGGGGTCCTGGCCTCTGACCGAGGCGCTACCATAATACACCTAATAAATAACGACTCCCAGGTTCTAGTCCCAGCTCAGACCTGCTGAGTGACCTTGGGCAAGTCACTTCCCTCCTCCGTGCCTCAGTTTCCCCTCACACCCGTTGTCTCATATGTCGAGTGCTCTCGCGACGCAAATAAGAGCCCCAGCCATGGCCCAGGACCCCCACTGTGCCAGGTGCTGTACGTTATTTATTAGGTGTTTTGCAGTAGCACCCAAGAACCCCAGCCATGGTCCAGGACCCCATTGTGCCAGGCGCTGTACATTGTTTATTAGGTGTATTACGGTAGCACCCAAGAGCCCCAGTGTCTCAGGTCCTGCACAAAGACATAAGAGGCTAATTAGCTCGCTATGGGGTTGTATTCCTGTAGCAACGAGCACAATAGGACCCTGACCTTGCTTGGCGGCTTCTAAGCCCTACTGTAGAAGGATGCGAATGCAGCTCTCCCAAGCTAGCACCAGCGCCGTATTATTGCCTAGGCCGACAAGGCCTAGGCCTAGGGCGGCAAATTTGCAGGGGCGGAAGCTCCCCTCCCCTCCGCGCCCCGCCCCCCTGCTCCAGCTCACCTCCGCCTCCTCTGCAAGCGCGCCGCCGCGTCCTGTTTCTCTCCCCTCCCAGCGCTTGCGCCGCGAAACAGCTGTTTCGCGGGGCAGGGGGGGAGGAGGGGGAACGCCGCGCGCTGGGGGAAGAGGCGGGGCAGGGGATTTGGGGAAGGGATCCAATAGGGGAAGGGAGGGGGCGGAGTTGGGGCGGGGACTTTGGGGAGGGGGTTGGAATGGGGGCGGGAAAAGGGCAGAGTCGGGGCGGGGCCAGGGCGGCAATTATTTCCCGGCCTAGGGGCGGCAAAATTATTAATCCGCCACTGGCTAGCACCCTAACCACTGAGCCGTCCTGCCTCCCATTGCAGCGACCTTGTCCGAGCTCTGGCCTAGCCCAGGCCGGAGAATTTCACCCAGCTGCTCGGGGACTTGCTCAGGTGCTCGTTTCCTGTTGCTCCCTGCGTGCCCTTCTCCTCCGGCAGAGACAATGCTTCTGTACCGGGCAGGATTGGGCTGGGCTGGGTCACACCTGACCGGGGCGGGGCGTGCGTAGGAGGCTAAGCTCAAACACGGCTGTTTGCTAACTGGGAAGTGGCAGGAACTGGGGCTTTTGCTTCTCACCCCTACTTCAAACCAAAACCAAAACCCAAACCTGTTTACCTAGAGGGAGAAGGGAAGAAATCCACTCCCAGAGGCTCTGAGAGAAGAATGGCGGGCGTGGGGTGAAGGTACTGGGCTGCAGGAGATCTGGGGTCGAATCCTGCTTCTGCCACTGGGTGAGACCAGGGGCGAGTTGCTGGTATTTTTCAGAGCTGGCCAAGGTGGGGGCTGAGTGGGGCCGGTTGAATATTATCCACCCAAGCTGTTTTCTGAGGGGAAATGGAGTTTTTCGACTAAATGACATCTGTCCAGAAAAGCCTCTGCTTCCTGCAGAAAAACTGGATTTTTCCACCGCAAACCAGAAGGCCCGAAGGCCAAGAGACGTCTGTTGACAAACGCCGTCGCGGTGCCTCAGGGGAGCTGTAGTGCAGATGCCTCCTGCCCCAGTTCTACCCCGGGGCCCAGGTCATCACTTGGACGACGTCGCCCATGATGCACCAGGACCGGGCACTCCCATGATGCATCACCTCTGCTCGCTAGGAGGGTTACCGGGCTGCTTCATGGGAGTTGTAATCCTCTGACGACCAGGCAATGGAGTTAAGTTCACGGCTCCCACAGCAGACGTGTGTTCAGCCCCCAGCATGCGCTGGGGGGCCCGATCCCAGCTGGGGGCCCGATCCTGGGGGGGCTCCGCGCAGCCCCCACGCTCAGTTAGGGTCTCTCAGTGCTACCGCAATGCCCGTCCCTGCTTAGGATTCTCATTCGGCCGCAGCGCTCTGGCGGTGGCCTCACCCGACGCACAGAGGGAAGCGAAATGCCCCAGGCCTGCCAGAGCTTGCAGACGGGGTTAAAAGCTGCCAGGCGGGACCCAGCAGGACTGGCTTTGTAACGGCTCTTGCCAGGGTTGAGTGAGTCACGCTCCCCACCCCCACCCCAGCAGGCTAGAACAGCTGCCTCTTCGCCAGGGCCTCCAACCCAACCAGCCCGACCAGTTCGGATCCCTGCGGCTCCGGGCCAGGCAAGCGAAGTGACCGCTCCGGTTCCCCAGCCTGTGCTCACAGCCACTGGGCTCTGCCCTCCGAGAGCTGCCGCATGGTGTCGTGGAGAGGACACCAGGCTGAGGCCCAGGGCAGCTGGGCTCTATTCCCAGCTCTGCCAAGGACCTGGGGCGAGGCACGTCCCCTTTTCGTGCCTCAGTTTCCCCTCTTGTCCTTTCCTTGTTTAGACAGCGAACTCTTTGGGACAAGGACTGTCTGGCTAAGTGTCTGTGCAGCACCTGGCACCAGGGGTGCTGATTTCGGTCAGGGTCTATATAGTGCCCAGGACAATAATTTGCCCTTGAAGCTGGGATCCGACTCTCTTCATTTCATATGAAAAAACCCCAGTGTATCCTCCCTAAACCAGGGCCACCCAGAGGGGGGGCAAGTGGGGCAATTTGCTCCAGGCCCCGGGCCCCGCAGGGGCCCCCATGAGAATATAGTATTCTATAGTATTGCAAGTGGTTTGAGCATTGGCCTGCTAAACCCAGGGTTGTGAGTTCAATCCTTGAGGGGGCCATTTAGGGATCTGGGGCAAAAATCTGTCTGGGGATTGGTCCTGCTTTGAGCAGCGGGTTGAACTAGATGATCTCCTGAGGTCCCTTCCAACCCTGATATTCTATGATCTCAACTTTTTTTTTATGGAAGGGGCCCCCGAAATTGCTTTGCCCCAGGCCCCCTGAATCCTCTGGGCGGCCCTGCCCTAAACGTACAGCCCTCACTCTCCCAGGGCAGAGCGAATTGGCTGAGAATTCACAAGGAAATTGATTAACTAATTTAGGAGCTAGAATTAATCTAAAACTGGGTCCTCAGTGATCTTAACCCCTGGATAACGCAGAGCCCTCAAACTTTCCCTCCTGGGACCTTGTGCCCAGGCTGTACCTGAAGCAATTAGGTTGCAATTAAGCAACGTTGTTAATCGTTGCACGTAATAACGCTCATCATAACAGGCTCAGCGGGGCCGTTATGACGTCAGAGGTCGCTTAACCAATCCCCGCCCTTCTTCCACCGCTAATTTGCATGCCACAGTGTCACGGGTTGGAGGGAGATTGGCGGCAAGAGTTCTCATTGGTAGATTGCTTGCCCAATCACTGCCGTTTAAAGACCCTGGCTTCATGCTAGTGGGGCATCATGGGACAGTTGTCTCCATCCTGCTGTGCGTGGAGGCAATGCTGCCGGGGAAACTGAGGCAGGGGGCGCCCTGAGATCATAGAGCCACTGGGACTCACCACCGAACTCTTTCCATCTGGAGCGATGAAATATCCCACAGTAGCGCTCTCCTCGGGATTGTGTCGGGGGTGGGAGCTGGCATGGAAGGGTGGAGGGAGGGGGGATGCAGGAGGGAGTGGAGGGGTATCGGGTGGATGGGCAGGGCAGATGGGGACTGGCATGGAGCAGCCCACGGAGGGGTATGCGCTGGATGGGCACTGGCACGCAGCAGTGCAAGGGAGGGACGGCATTGCTTAGGGGCTGGCAGGCAGCAGTGACTGGCGGGGTGGCATTGCCAGGAGCTGGCACGCAGCCATCCCGCGCCAAGGCATGGGCACGGCCAGGGCAGACGCAAGCCAGGAATCTTGTGCCGACGACCCGAGCAAACCGGCCTCGGTGCAGGGCCCTGACTCACAGCCTGGGCTCTCTGCCCTGCCGGGTGGAGACTCTGGGGCAAGAACTAACAGGGAGGGGATCGGGGGGGGGGGGGCACTCAGCCCTAGGAGAGCTGCACAGTCCCTCTCTCCCCCCCCACCCGGTCTCACATCAGGCCATGCAGCCTCTAGGCCAGACCCCCAGCTGGTGTAGACCTGCGTTGCGCCACTGGAGTCAGCACAGCTGGGTCCGTTTACACCAGCCGGGATCTGGCCCTTTATAAATGTTGATTTTGCAAAGCGAAGGGCTTGTTTATTTACGGCTCTAATAGGGGCCACTCCCTGCAATTTACAGCCAGAGGGAGCCCAGGCAGAGCGAAGACAAACTGCTGGGGCCAGCTGCCCCACTGGCATAACCTGGCATCAGCCGGTGACTCCAGGGGAAGGGGCCGATTCCCCTTTAAGGCCCTGCACGGCCGATCCTTGCCTGAAGTACCACCTCTTACGCATGATTGAGTCACCCGGCGGAGCTGGCCAGCCTCGGTCCAACGCACCGTTGTGCATGGCGCAGATTCTCTGCAATGATCTGCAAGGCCGCCCCACGATCCTGCTTCCCGCTCGCCTCGCACTATTAGGTGTATTACGGTAACAGCGAGACACACCCTGCCCCCAGACAGAGATCAAGGGCCCTATCGGCATGGACTCAGAGAAGCAGCCCCTGGGAGGGGGCAGGATCCCTGTATGAACAGCCCCAACGCACCACCCCAGAGGCGGCTGCATCTCCGTACCAGGTGAGGGACCCCTCTGCCACCACAGAAGGGGTGGAGGGCAATGGCAGATGTTTATACAGGGATCCTTCACCCGGCGACGAGATGCAGCCACTTCTGGGGTGAGGCACGGGGGCTGCTTCACCCAGAGTCCCTGCGCAAAGGGGTGATTCTAGCAGGGGCTTTTCCCCTCCCCCTCTGCACAGCCTAGAGGGGCCAGAACATGACTGAGGATAGGAGAGAGCAGCTTGAAGGGGTTAAAGTGGCAGGGCCCGGGATGCTGGGGGCAACAGAACATGGCAGGGCAGCTCTGGGGTGGGCACAGCGGCTGGGAAATGAAGCCCAGGCCAGACAAGCTGAAAACCCAAAAAACCAACCAACCAAAACCCGGCCGCGGAGACACAACGCAGACGGGAAGGGGCTGGGGGCGATCACAGCTCGAATTAGCCACCTGCCGCCAGGGGCAGGGTTGTCATGACAGCTGGTAGTAAGAGGGTGTGACTGGAAGGTGCCATGTAGGGCCGAAGAGCTTAGCCATGCCTTGCTGATGATAGATGAGGATCTCACCTGGTGCTGAAATGCAGCTGCCTCTGGGGTGGGGTGTGGCAGCTGTTTATATAGGGATCCCTCACCTAGAGCCACCATGCAGCCGCCTTAGGGTAGGGCACAGTGGCTGTTTATACAGGGATGCCTCACCCTGCACTGAGATGCAGCTGCCTCTGGGGTGGGGCGCAGCAGCTGTTTAGACAGGGATCCTACACCCAGGACTGAGTGACTGGGTCTGGGGTGTGGTGTGGGGCACAGCGACTGTTTATCCAGGGTTCCTTCAGCTGGAGCTGAGATGCAGCAGCCTCTGGGGTGGAGCACGGCGGCTGTTTCACAACGCACAGCAACACCGCACAAGAAGCGAGGATACCGTATCCAATCGAAGCGCTGTGTGCATGGGGGGGGGGGGCTTTTAAGGGGGGCCCCGGCGGCTGGAGTTCACGGGGGGGCGGAGATCCCAGCAAGACCTAGGCTCCTGCCTGCGGAGAGGTGAGCCTGACCGGAGGGGAAGGCTGGAGGGACACGTGGCAGAGTCTTCAAGGCAGGAGATGTTTTAACTCTGGGGGGGTCTATCCAGGCCCTGATGGATTCTCACCCCCCATCCCCATCCCTTCCTCCCCCATGGATTTTCAGGGGGCTCCAGGGGCCCCCCACTCTGGGAAGGAGGCACTTGCTAGGCACCAGACATTTGCGGATCAGCCCAGACCAATACACCGACCAATGCCCGTGATTATCCCCCATCAGCTCAGCTCCCCTCTGTGGAGACACGCCAGAGACTAGAACTGGCCCTGGGCCACAAACCGACAAGAGCCTCCCAGCTCGGGGGAGCCCTGGGGGGGTTTAGCCTCCGACACAGACCCTCTTTAGCATCCGTTCCGCTGTTGCCACCAAGGAAACACTCGGCCCGTTTCCTAGCCAGACACACAGCACCAGCGAGAGAAGGCCTCGGACGTACACTCCTTGCAGCATCTGGGTGACCAGACAGCAAGTGTGAAAAATCAGGACGGGGGTGGGGGGTAATAGGAGCCTATATAAGAAAAAGACCCAAAGATCGGGGCATCTGGTCACCCTACCTCAGGATCTCAGCTCCCTGCGTCGCTACCCACGATGCTACCCCGAGCGTAGGCATGATTTGCACCCAGGAAGCAGCAGCTACCTACCCCTGTGACCCCTCCGCTGCCCCAGTGCCTCTCTGGGGCTGCTGGCTCCTTCCCCGGGATCTCGGCTTTCACTGATAGGAACAAGCCCCTGGCCAGCTGCACTGGGGGGATGGGGGGGGACCTCAGAAAGGGGAATCCCTCGCAGGGGCGAGTCTGGCAGGAGCGCGCACGGGGTGCGAAGGGCGCCGCTGGCTCGGATGCCCCTGCGATGGCTGGCTGACGGCCGCCATCAGTAACGTCCCTCCTGTGAGAACGGGGGCTGGGAGGTGCACGGAGGCAGGATGGCCCAGTAGTTAGTGCACTAGCCTGTCTTGGGAAAGCCGAGGTCACTTCCCTGCTCTGTCACAGACGGCCGGGGTGACCTTGGGCAAGTCACCGCTCTGTGCCTCAGTTTCCCCATCTGGAACATGAGGACAGTAGCGCTGCCCTGCCTCACAGAGCGGGCTGGGAAGATACATACAGTAAAGATTGGGAGGCGCCCAGATACCGCAGTGATGGGGGCCAGGTAATCACCTTGACTAGCTAGACCTGTGCAAGCCACGGTTCACATTGGTGCCACACGGGGATGGAGTTTGGGAGGGGCCACCCCTTAATTTCCCCCCCCCCCAATCAAAGAACTGAGCCCATGGGCCACGCTGCTCCCCCACCCCACCCCGAACGGATCATGGCCCCAGAGACCCAGCGGGCAACAGGATCGAACCCGGAACCACAGCGTCATCCACTGTGGGTGACGGCTCATGTGGGCGGGACTTAGTTTGTGGGCGGGGCATGGAAAGGCCCCTTCCTCCAGTCTGACACTGGTGGAAGTGGGCATCTGGCTGCAGGTGCAGATACCACCCAGCTGTGAGGGCGGCCGTGATCTGTGCCCCGTCACCATGAGGGGCAGGCAGCTACCCCGCCGGGAGAAATCCCCGGCAAGGGAAGGCCTCAATTCTGCGAGAGATTGGAGCCGCCCTGCCAGGCCACTGCCTGGCCATTATCAACATCCTGTCCCCGCCCCTTTCCTTCTCCAAATGGCTCCTGTTTCGTGACAGGGAATCCCCGCCCCCGCCCCTACGAGTGAACGGTGCACGTGGACCATGCGTTCCCTGGGGCTCTACGCTCCCTTTGCCAGTATTCTGGGCCCTGCCCCTGGTGTCAGTGAGAGCAGCCTCAGGGCTGCTCTAGTGCTGCTCCGCCCCTGGGAAGCGGAGAACAGCGTAGGGCATGATGGCCATGCCCCCGTCGGCCCCCTACCCCAGAAGCAGGGTCGGTGCAGGGTCCTTAGGGGTCAGAGACACCCCTCCTGCAATGGGGGAGGGGAAGGGGGAATCTGAGCGTAGAACCAGACCCCATCGCTTTCCACTTGCCACAGAGGCCGTGGGTGAACGAGAACCCAGCCAGGCCCACAGATCCAGGCTGGTCACCCAGAGATCCTCAGACCCAATGTGAAATGCCCTGGAGACACACAGCCGCCCCTGAGGTGTACCCAGGAACTGGGGGTGCCCCTGGCTCGGGGAACCTCCTGAATCAAGTCTCGGGAGAGCAGCCATTCCCCTCTGGTTCCCCTGCCGCTGATCCCTGACTGGAAAGCAGGCGACTGTTTCCTGCCAGCCGCCGAGCTGTCACCCCGGCTGCTTTCTTGCTAGCTTCCTGCAGTCTTATCAATCGAAACTGACTTGGCAAAGTCCCGGCGACTCACCCAGGCATCTTCCGAATCAGAATTCGGTTCAGTGCCTCCCCCTCCCCACAGCACCCGCTCAGGGCCAGGAGTTTCCACAAGCGCTCAGCGGTGGGTGGAACGGCCCCAGGAACAGCGGAGTGACCCCAATTTACGCCCACGGAGGATCTAGCCCGTTATCATTTCTCTGACAGGAGCACCTGGAAGTCTCAACGGAGATCGGGGCCCTCTCATGCCAGAAGGAGAAGCTGCCCAGACCCCGACCGGGATCGGGGCCCCCCCGTCCTGCCGGGC